ACCAGGTGTGTTTTACAGAGACAGCGTGCAGATGAGCGACGGCAGTGGCATACCCTAAACCCTAAACCCTAAACCCTAAACCCTAAACCCTAAACCCTAAACCCTAAACCCTAAACCCTAAACCTCAGAGCTTGGCAAACTGGAACCTCAGGAGTTTATAGGGCCTCTTCAGGTTTCCGGTTGGCCCGGAACCCCAATCCCACTAAGCACTTTAGGGTGCTCAGGGTTTAGGGTTTAGGGTTTACGGGTTTAGGGGCTTAGGGTTTATGGTTTAGGGTTTAGGGCTTAGGGGGTTTTTCTAAGCTTGCAGCCAGGATGTGGAGCAAAGAGCTCTGGCAGGAGCTGAGAATGATAAAGTACAATGTGGCAGCAGCAGGAGTAGTAGCGGTAGTAGTAGTGGTGGTGGTCGTTGTTGTTGTCGTTGATAACGTTGTCGTTGTTGTCGCTGCCGTGGTTGTAGTCGTAGTCCCGAAATCCATAAACCCTTAGCCTTAAACCCGTAACCCCTCAACCTCTAAGCCCTATAAACCCCCAGCCCGAAACCCTGAACCACTAAACCCCTACAACCCCCCCGAACCCGAAACCCTGAACCCTGAACCCTAAACCCTAAACCCTAAACCCAAACTTATGATGTGGAGGATTGCGAGGGCTAGGGCCTCCATGCTCTGGGCAGGAAGAAGGCTAGTTAGAAAGGACTAGTTTAGACTTAAAAATTCCATTGGGATTTGGGGTTTAGGGTTTAGGGTTTTAGGGTTTTAGGGCTTTAGGGTTTTAGGGTGTGGGGTTTAGGGTTGTAGGTCCTTTTTGTGGTATATATTTAGGATCCTATAAGGTAGTCCCCAGAAGGAACTACGATGGAGCCTATGGGTAACGAGTTAATGCCGAAACTTGAATCCCTAAACCCTAAAGCCTAAACCCTAAAGCCTAAACCATAAAGCCTAAACCCTAAAACCCTAAACCCTAAACCCTAGACCCTAGACCCTAAACCCTAAACCAACCAACCAACCAACCTAAAACCTAAACCCTTCACTTCTTAGGCGTACCTCGGGTCCATTGCTCCCTCCATGGACTCAGAGGCCGGACCGAGGCGTTCTGGAGTTCATTCCTTCAAGGGTTTGGTGTTTTTTTTGTTTTTTGCGATGGTTTTGGGATTAATTTAAGGGTTTAGGATTTTGTTGTCGTGCTCAGAGTGTGTTTTTGGGTTTGGGGTTTAATTTGAGGGTTTAGGGTTTGGTTTTGGGTTTTGTGTTTAAGGGCTTTGGGTTAGGTTTTTTCGGTGTTTCGAGTTTCAGGATTTAGTGCTTGTTTTGGATTTGGGGTTCAAGGGTTTAGATCTTGTTTTCGGGTTTTGGGTTCAAGGGTTTAGGGCTTGTTTTCAAGTTTTGTGCTTAAGGGTTTAGGGCTTGTTCTAGGATTTTGGGGGTAAAGCTTTAGCGTTTATAGGGCTTTAGGTATCGTTTAGGGTTTAGGCTTTTAGGGATCAGGGTTTAGGGTTCTTAAAGCGGTGTCGCAGGTACCTTTCGGGTTCTGGGCTCCCAGTAGTACCCGCTTGCCCGTTTTTGGACCGACTACAGTAGTACCTATAGTCTCCATTGTAGTTCCTTTTTGGGATACCTTATAAATTCCTTAATGCATAATTGGTGAAACCAAAAAAGGAACTACAATGGAGACTACAGTAGTAGACCCGCATCATTGCGGGGCCAATGGGAAACCTAGCATTATTCATGCGGACCCTTACGTGTCTAGACTTGGGTCCGCTATTGTCTCAACCATATATATATATATATGTATATAGATTTATCTATTTATGTATATATTATCTTGTCTTCTATATTATACTTTATTATATTTATGGTATTATTAACCAGAGGAGGGATGAGGGTTGAAGGTTCTGAGGCTTACACATATGCGCACGTAACACGGCTGACTTCGTGCAGACTAGCCACTACTAAGCGCGATACATTATAAGGTTTGAGCAGATGGACCTTCGTCAAAAGCCTCAAGAAGCGGAAGCCAATTCGAGCGACAGGTGTGTAATGATTCAGTGTAGCTAGGGTTCGAGGTTTAGGGTAACTAGTGCGAAGATCATATGCCAGGGCATCTGCCACCTCGTTGCCCTCAACGAGGTCCGGGAAACCGGTCAGGAGGCCGCTTGGTTCTTGAAGGCAACGATTGAAACCTGTATTCGTTGATTGTTTGCAGCACGATTGTAGGGGTCTGGCTTGTATCAGGTACCTAAGATGAAGTAATCATACAGAGGCTTCTATGCTTGGAACTCGAAGTCTCCGATTCCCATTCATCAAAGGCCGCCGTTTTTGGATTTGGCAGCTTTGCATGAGGGTGCAGCAGTTGTTGGCTTAGGGTGTGGAACGGCCTTAGGCCTGTAGCTCTAGGGACACATCAACCTCTTCCCTCGAATAAGGGAGCTAGGGTTTTGGTCAAGTGGAAGTCGTGGGCAGAGGATGTACAGTCTAGTCTAGTGTTTAGGGTTTGGCATTGTAGCTTAGTGGCTGAGTAGGTAACCTTTAACCTTTTGAGGCTCTTAGAATCCTACTATCACTCAACAGGTTAACCTTTTTTTGGGCTAGGGTACTCAGCCCCTAAGGTAGTGGATTCTAACTTAGACCCGTTTGACATGATCTGGACTCCTGGACTGCAGCACATCAGACATGAACCTCCCTTGTTTCTGGCATGTTTGTTCCTTCTCTTGTACTTGGGGATGCTTACTGGGTAGATGACTCTTAGCGTCACCGTGTGCCTGTTTGGGAGGAGCTGAGAGCATAACCATGAACCCTAATCCGAAACCCTAAACCCTATACCGTAACCCGTAACCCCGAGCCCCAAACCCTAAACCCTGGACCCTAAAACCAAAACCCTAAACCCTAAACCCTAAACCCTAAACCCTAAACCGCAACCCTAAACCCGGAACCCTGAACCCTTAGTTTAAGAACTTGGGGTCTAGGGCAGATGCAGTCCTGAATGTTGTCATATGATATAGGGGCCTACAGGGTTTAGGGTTTAGGGTTTAGGGTATTCCCTTGGGTTCTCTATTATAAGTATACCAGAATGGACCCTTAAACCCTTTTCTAACTATTCTGTAATTAGGCCCTTACTTGGAGGGTCGGGGGACCTAGTAAGTAGGTAGTAGGTAGACTTATGAGTTCCCTAAAGGGGACCCTAATTGTGGTTAAAGTACTTATAAGTCTATAAAATGACCCTAAACCCTAAACCCTAAACCCTAAACCCTAAACCCTAAGTCCCCCGACCCTCCAAGTATGCCAGACCCGGGAGACGCTCAGTGCAAGCAGATGCACAGCCTGAGCCGCAAACTGTGCCCTGCACCGGGATCCACCACAAACCCGTTTAGGGTTTAGGGTTTAGGGTTTAGAGTTTAGGGTTTGGGGTTTAGGGTTTAGGTTTTAGGGTTTAGGGTAACCCGGCACGTAATGCCGCAGCATCCACCTCAAGCCCCAAGCACCGCCCCCTCGTCACCGAAGAGAAGAGACCCGAGTTCCGACCCCAAGCAGTGGAATGTCGATGATACGTACGTAAGTGGTGGGCAGAGGAAATCCCGATTGACGATTTCAAGACACTTGCAGAGGACCTGAAGCCCAAGCCTAAAGTCCTTTGCCTGTTCTGCTAGATCGACTGGCCTGTAAGGACGATGTCACTCCAGACGGCACTCCGAGCGCCACCCGGCCTCGTGAAGCTTACTAACTAGAATCAGAAACTTGATAGAATCTTGGGTCTAAGATTTGGTGTGTTGATCAGCGTCTACGAGTTGGGGTTGATGGCTCAGGGAAAATTCGGATCCATGCCATTAAGCTGCAAAAACAAATCTCGAGACTCGAAGCCTTCAACGGCGTCGTAAGCCCAACAAATTTGTCTCATCAGCATCATCATCTTCAGCAGCAGCTGCAGCATCCACACCACCGTCGACAGCCCCAGCATCACCATCATCAGAAATAGTGACCAGCACGCAGCTGGGGAAACTGCTAATGATGAAGTTGGACATGATGACGGCAGCGTCGATGTGGATAATGAGGGTGAAGGTGCACTCAGCTTATTTTTGAATTGAATCATGATGGTCGATGTTGACTGTACCTGCGATGGTAGCGGTAAGAATATTGAGCATGATGGCGAGCAAGAATCTGATGGCAGTGTTTCCCAATGAACCTGGATATGACGACGGTGCATGACATAATGCTGCTGGTGGTTATCCAACAACAACAACAACGACGACGACGACGACGACGGCAACAACAACAGCAACGACGACTACGACGGCAACAACAACAACAACAACAACCAACGACAACAACAACAACAACAACAGCATCAACAGCATCAACAGCATCAACAGCATCAACAGCAACAGCAACAGCAGCAACAACAACAACAACCACAACAACAGCAACAACAACAGCAGCAACAACAACAAACAACAACCACCACAACAACAGCAACAACAACAACAGCAGCAACAACAACAACAACAGCAGCAGCAGCAGCAACAACAACAACAACAACGACGACAGCAACAACGACGACAACAACGGCAACAGCAACAGCAGCAACAATAATAGTAAGAATAAAAAGGAATATAGCAATGTTATTAATGACAATAATTACAACCTTGAAGGGTGTGGCACGCGGGTCCGAACTCCAAGGCGATGTGGTGATGATGGGGGAGATTTCAACGACATGTGGAACGCGATTATTTCGCTGTTCTCCATCACAGTGAGTCTCTACCAGGGAGACTTCCGCGAAATCCAGCCTGATCCCATGCTCTTGATGATGTGACTTGGTCCCACATTCTACGCTTTATCTGATGCTTGCTGTCACGTTCATGGTGCCGGATTCGAGCGTAGTGGTCCCAGAGAGTTTCACCATGCAGGGCAATCTCCACTTCTTTTAGGTTGCTAAACCGACGTGTTTCTGTTCATGTCATGTTCCGGCTCTAGCTGTTCCTGCATGATCAGGATTTGGGTTTCCGGAGTCTACAGGTTACATGTCTGCTTGCTTTGCTTTTTCGCGGTCGGCTCCCCTACCCAGGATCTACCTCTTTCTCTTAGTCTCCGTGGTGCTTTTGCTGAACCTGCTGATTGCGCAGCTGAACCAGACGTACGAGTACATCAACAAGGATCGTGGTAATCTTGGGCCAGACGGTTCTGGGTACACGGGGGAGGGTATCCCAAACCTTCACGCCAAACCTGGCGGAGCGTTTTAAGTTTGACGGGGGCCGAGCAAGGTTGAGGGATTCTTGCTTCACGAAAGTTCTATAGAAGTATCCGCGCAGAACCCCAACACTCAACCCGAACCATCCTGAACCCCAACCCAAGACCTCCTATGTAATTCCTTTTTGGATATTATACTATACATCCTCACCCAAAAACCATTACAGACCCAAAAAGGAACTACATTGAAGGTCCTGGGTATACACTCTAAACCTCCAAGCACAAGGTAGCACCGACTCGCTGAGACCCTAAACCCTAAATCCTAAACCCTAAACCCTAAACCAACCAGGATGTTCTCGGCTTCGCCCGGCTCAACCGGGCATCGCTGGTCGTCGATGCCATGGCCTCATGCCCCAAATCGAAGTGGAAGAAGTTCCTTGCCGACTTCTGGACGCAGAGATTTAGGGTTCCGGGTTCCGATGCTCGCCCGTTAGCCCTAAACCCTATAAACCCTAAACCCCAATAGCCCTGAACAAACCCTGCAATGCGGGCTCGTCCTTGCTAAGAGGGAGGGAAAGAAACCCCAAAGCCAATCAACCCAAAAAGCCCCACAGACTCCAGACTCTGGACTCGACCTGGCTGCGGGATACCTAAGACATGGTTCCTGAGCAAAGTTGTCACAACTGGTTCTTGTAGGGTTCAGGGTTTAGGGTTTTGAGCAGTCATGAGAGCTGAACTTCTGTAGGCTCAGACATTCAGGCGATTGCACGAGTCCTGATGCAAAAAAGGGGTTTTGAGTTCAGGGTTTAGGGTTTAGGGCTTTGGGTTCAGGGTTTAAGGGTTAGGTACTCCGCATGAGGGCTCGAAGCGACTGGCGTCAGTTCCAGAAGCTTCGAGGGTTCGTCTCTGCTTGGACACACGTTTTGGGCAGAAGAAGCGACCAGGCCAGCCCGCTGCAAAATGTAATGTAGGGGCCTTAACAAGTACCAATATTGGTTTAGGGGCTCCTTATTATAACTACAGTATGATGGCCCCCAAAACCCTAGTCTACGGCCCCTATATTACTTCCTTCGCCTTGACTTCAACCTCGCTTGTTGGTGCAGACAGTCATAGGATGCTTGAGGATTTCAGGGTTCAGGGCTCCTAAACCGTAGGGTTTAGGAACCCCAAACCCCACACCCTATAGATCCTAACGGGGTCTAGGGCACATGACCCAGGATCTCAAGCTCGACGAGAAGAGGGAGTTTGATGAAGGCGATTTGGGCCTCCCAGGTGGGGGAGGGGGAGGGCTGGAAAGGAGTATCGTCTGGGGCGCCACCTAGTCTTGGGGGCTTGGGTGGTTTAGGGTTTAGGGTTTGTGGTTTCCCTGTGTCAGTGTAGGTTGGGTTTTTCGGGTTGTGGTGTTCGTTTGGCTGTAGGGTTTTGTCAGTTGTGGTAGTCTGCGTTAGATTCAAGGTGGGTTGTTTTAGGGTTTAGGCATTTCGGAGAGTTGAGATTTTTGGCAATCAGGGTTTTGCTCTGAGGTTTGGGTTACCTTAACCAAGTCGCCCAGCTGACCGAATAAGGCCATGAATTTGAGATCCCTCCCTTCCCTGAGATGCTTGAAATGGAAACCCTCAGTTCGAGCGACGTTGCAGGTAACTTTCTACTGTTTTGTGAAACATGCATCCCGCTTCGATAGCAACATTGGGCTTTTCTGGGTCTGGGAATTTATCAAATAAGCCAGCCTAGAGTCTGCATTGTAGTCCCCATCCTAGGTTTCCTTATAGGATCCCAAAACTACAGTCGGTTAAGCCCAAAGAGGAACTTCAATGGACACTATGGGTATGCTTTAATCGAGCTCAATCCTGCCAGCAGAGGGTCGATGGGTTCGTCAAGCTAGGCCTAGACTGTCGGGCGCTGTTCCCTGTCAGCCCTCTACTCAGAGAGTCAGCTGTCGCTGAGTTAAGGGTTACTGGGGCCTCCTAGAAAGCCCAATCTTACACCCATAGACTCAATTTCAATAGACTTCCAGCTCAAATCTGGGTTGACAACGGGTTCGAAAGCTCAATCTTCAAAGCCGTCAAAGCCCGTGGTTAAAAAGCCAGAAACTGGCCTGCACGACTGGATGTGCAGCCGGAAGCCCTAAATTCAACAAGCCTTGCTGACACCAGACCTAAACCTACAAAACATGTCCTGCCCTAGCCTTTTCAAAGACCCCAACGGCCCATTGACCCTGTCTGAACCCATAAACCCACACACTACCCATAGGCCCCATAGTAGTTCCTTTTCGGGATAACCTAATAGGATCCTAAAAACAAACCACAAAAAGGAACGACTATGGGGCCGTTGGGTAGACTCACCAGGCTGCATCCAGAGCCACGAGGCCGCAGGACTCCACCGGCAGAGCGAGGAGACCGCTTCTCTTCGCGCTTATGCCTTGCGGCTCCGGGTTTTGCGGTTTCGGGTTTCGGGTGGCTTGAAAACTGAAAGCTCTCGAAATCATAGATTTCATTCTTGCCGAACACATCGGCTTCACAAGCGCAGCTTCGAGGCCAAAAAACAGACGTTTCCGAGGATCCTGAGCCCTAAACTCAAGCCGTCGCCCCGAACCCTAAACCCTTAACCCTAGACCCTTAACCCTAAACCCTAAACCCTAAACATTAAACCCTAAACCCTAGACCCTAAACCCTATAAGCCCTAAACTTTAAACCCAAAACCCGTCAAGAGGAGCAGATCCGCCGCTATGGAGGTTCGACGCTGCCATCTCTGCCCTGGCCAGAGGAGAGATGTCGGTTGTCTTCTTCGGTTTAGGGTTTAGGGTTTAGGGTGGTGTGTGTAACTTTTCAGGGTTTGTGCTGTAAGGCAGGAGCTTCAGGCAATGCTGCAGATTAGGGTTTATGCTTTTATGCTTTAGTATCCTGGGGTTTAGGGCATGGGAAAGTTGGTAGTAACAGTAGTCGTGATAGGAATCCAGATCTAGAAACTCTAACATGCGTCTTGGTGGTGGTGGTGGTGGTGGTGGTGGTGGTGGTGGTGGTGGTGGTGGTGGTGGTGGTGGTGGTTGGCTTGGTGATGATGATGATGATGATCATGATGATGATGATCATGAGGATGATCATGATGATGATTATGATTATGATTATGAGGATGATGGTGGTCAATAGTGTTGTATTTGAAGGAGAATAAACAGCGCAGCTGTCGTCTCTCTCTCTCATACGTCATTCTGGAGAGATGGCATGCAGCCCCCCCGGGTCGGTGCTAGTTGCACTGTCAGAAGAAAAGGCAATCAAGGCGAAGCGCTGAACCGTCCAAGACCTAACCCTAAACCCTAAACCCTGAACCCTAAACCCTGAACCCAAACCCCGAAAGCTGAGAGGACAAGGCCAAGAAAAGTGGCCCCGCAGAGGCCAGGGCTTTCCTCTTGTAGGGGGAACCAGGAAAGACGGAGATATATGGGTAGTTCTCTAGATTAGAGTCCCTTTCATGGTCCTTTCTATAAGGGCGCCGTACTATCTGGGGGACCTAAAAAGGGACCCTAATTTAGAGAACTACCCATCTAAGAGTTATGTCATGGGCACCCTGAGGGCTCGTCATGTGTTTTCGGTAGCAGTGTTACCGGATTTTTTAAGATTCGGAAGGCATTTCTCGGACCTGCCACCCGGATATTCAGGCCTTTTGAGTTCACTAGATGGAGCGGGTTCAGGGTTTAGGGTTCGAAGGTGCTTCCAGTCTGGTCGCATATCTGGACCCTTAGAGTTCAGGAGGATGGATTTCGGGTGCTTGGTCTAGGGAGTCTAGGGGTTCAGTTTTCAGCGTTCGGGTGGTGTGTTTTTTTTTTAAGTTTTGGGTGGTGCATCGTGTTTTTTGCTTGGCGTCTGTCTTGAGGTGTAAGGTTATGTGGGGGGTTTGAGGGTTTTTGCGCTTGGGGATTGGAGCTCCTGTAAGCTTGTCTTGGCTTGGGGTAGAAGAGTAGGTGCCGCAAAGCTCCCCAAAGCCCTATAAACCCTAAGACCCCATAGTAGTTCCTTTTTGTGGCTTGCATTTAGGATCCTATTAGGTTATCCCAAAAAGGAACTACTATGGGGCCTATGGGTAAACCCTAAGCCCCATGGGGCACCGTCATCCAGCATCCCCGCGCTCCAAACCCTAAACTGGGGGTTGTATACTGTTGTACATCCTTCCTCCCCCTGCTGCTCACAACATGTAGCAGCATCTTGTACATCCTTTGCAAAGCGGCCAGTAGCAGTTTTTGCAGGCTGAGGGCAAAGCCCGAACTATGTGAGCTGACTTGGTCCTCTCTGTCAGCGCGGCAACCCTAAACTGAAGGACACTCCGGAAGCACGTCTTGCCCACATCGAGTACCTGCTGGAGAAGGCTCCGGTCGGTTTCAGGATTTCGGGTTTCGGTTTGTTTGTTGGTCCGCCTTGTTCGGTTCAGGGACTGTTCCTTGATAATGTTACGGACCTTGGGATGGCGGGTATGGGCAGGCTGGGCACCGTTCCGGAAACCAGAAGAAGAAGCGCAATGCGAGTGTTGTTGAGACCAATCCCTAACCCCCCAGGTACCAACTATATAGGGTACTAGAGCCCCTAAGGCCCTATATAGTAGGTACCCGGAGGGTTAGGGAATACTATTTTTCAGCAGACTTTGACGCCAACAAAGGCGGTGTTGGGTGGGCTCGATGTAACAAGAGCAGAATCTGCCCACATGGTTGGGCTTCTTCCTCAAATGCAGTGTATCGGGGTCCCTGGACAAGGAACCAACGGCCGGATTCCCAGAACCCTAAACTCAAAAACCTTATGAAACAGTACGTAGATCGGACCGATGCCCACGTTGATTGCCAAGTTGCTCTGGAAGACGGTCATGTCATGGTGACGGAAGGACATACTGTGACTGCTGACCACTTTGTGATGGTAAGGGTTGGAGAGCTACTTTCACTTGCTCTTAGCTTTGGAGGAAATCCACTAGGAACCCCAAGCCCTTAGCCAGGACACCCAACGCCCTGAACGCTAAAACCTAACCCAAGCCCCAATCCTTCTAGAACCGTCCGCAAAGCCACTGTTGCGCAGAAGCCTTCCGAATTATGAACACTAGTACTGGGTTCCTTCTTATACACATCCTACTCTATGATATACCCCCCTCCCTCAGAAAATATACGATCACCCTCGTAGATGTTTGAACCGATCAAGGCCCTAAGCCCTAACCCCCAAACCGACTTCCTCTAACTTACACTGACCCTAAACCCTAAACCCTAAACCCAGCCTTAAAACCCAACAACAGTCTCCGCAAGAGGCCGTGCGCCGCAAGCACCATCGGGAGGGCAGCCGGGAGCCCAGGCGTTTAGACACAGGCTTTACGGTCTAATGGCTTTGAGGTTAGGGTTTAGGTTTAGGGTTTGATGGCTTAGAGTTTAGGGTTTAGGATTTAGGGTTTAATAGTTTGAAGGTTAGGGTTTAGGGTTTACTGTCTTAGAGCTTAGGGTTTACGATTTAGGGTTTATGGTTTGGAGGTAAAGGTTTGGGATTTAGGGTTTAATGGCTTAGAGTTTAGGGTTTAGGATTTAGGGTTTAATAGCTTAGAGTTAGAGGTTAGGGTTTAGGGTTCATTGGGGTTTAATCGCTGAGAGGTTTGGGTTTAGGGTTTAGTGGCTTACAGGTTTTGGTGTAGAACTTGTGCTTCTCCGTGCGCCAATGCCCAAAACCCTGCACATTTTCTCAACAGTTCAGCAGGTTCTTTTGCCGCAAGGCTCCGGCCCTGCAGCTTAGGGTTTAGCGTTTAGGGTTTAGGGTTTGCTTGTCTGTCTTGGCTGCGTCCTTCGTCCTTGTGCTGCTGAAGCGGTTGGTTGCAATGAACACATGGTGACACGGAAGCTGCCAACGCCAAGAAGCTACGTACAAGTCTATGAGTGAGTGACAGGAGGGAATTGTCCCTAAACTCTAAATACCCAGAACCCTGCACCGTTTGTATTCCTTTGCTGACGAGTAGTCTTTATTGCACAGCCTCATCCTGGCCGCGGACAAAAGCAGCAGATGTAGCAATCAGTGCTAAGACTGAGTGGATCGCTCTGGCGGCTAGGGTTTTGGGTTTTCGGGTCGAGATCGAAAACCCTGTAGGTTCTTTTTGCCTAGATTTCGCACGCTAGAGCCGCAATCAAGCCATGTGGGAGCCCAAATCCAATAATGTCGGGGTCGGAATAACTACCAATCGCACCCCCTAGGGTTCCCGTAAGAAAACTTTAGAGAAAAGGACACCCCACCCCTATTCTCATGATGAAGGCCCCTATCTTACCCGTCATATCCTGAAAAGAAAAGAAGCTTAGCCTGAGCCTTGCTCCGGGGCCTTCCAAAAAGCTCGCCCTCCGAGCTCCTCCCACCCCCCAAACATTAGAGCATCTCCCTGGGCTGTCTCTAGGATGTTTTGGGTTTAGGGTTCGAACATGAGAAAAAATCCAGCCGAGCCCGTCACCCCCACACTCCTTCAGATCCGAAGATTCCATCTTACAACCCGATCCCTCGGCTCCGGCCTGACTCAGCTCATTCATCTCCAAACCCGAAAATCTCCGGACCGCAACCCTAAACCCTTTCACAAAGGACCACCTCTTCAAGCCCCTCCAGCCGGTAGATCGTCTAAGCCGAAGGCCTAGAAAGGGACTCAAAGGTGGACACACACACACACACACACACACATGCGCCTCGTTTTTGCAGTCCCTAAGCTTGCCCTACACCCTCCACCCTCCAGCCTTACATAGGAGCCTTTAGTTCAAGGCTAGACTGGGGTTTCGGGGTAGATCATCCTATACATATACGAAGGAAGCCGAAGGAAGAGTAAGTTGGCAAGTTGGTACGTATGCAGGTCCCTTTCGTCAGCCCTTTCTGCCTAGGTTCAGACAACCACTCGCACGATACATCCGGAAGCTCTATCGGCAGCTCTGGCTGCAGCCCCTCGTCAAACAGGGAAAGGGATACATAAACGAGCTGGATATAGGGTTTAGGGTTACGGAGGCCTCGGTAAGGGCTTGAGGCCCTGTAGATTAGGGATTCTAGCTGGGGCACGTGTTAGGAGTGTGGTGCCTGAGCAACCGTTTTTCGGTATTTTGTTGCAGGCTTCCGAAGCCGCCCACCCTCAGCGAGCAGGATTGGTGGGGACATACCTGGAACCCCTAACATAATTACAGTATGTGCTTAAACCGTAAACCAGAGTAGGTCCTTACCACGACAGGGTTTAAGTGCACACTGACAAGCTTTCCAACCACAACGACAAGCTTTTGTCTTACACTGACAAGGGTTTGGGGCGGCCACTATTTTGGCGAGATTGAACAATCAAGTCTACCAAGAAGGGGGAACGCGCGGGAATCACCATTTTGCCATTTTCAGAGCCTCAATCCTCCAAAACGGTGATTCCCCCGCGTGTGGTGGTGGAGAGAGGGGGGCACAGGGGCAGAATCATTTTTGGAAGGAGGTAGGCTGTGAAAATCGCACGACGGCGATTCCCCCCCCACTCTCCAGCCACAGGCGGGAGACATTTTTGAGGATTTAGGCTCTGAGAATTGCAAAATGGTGATTCCCGCGCGTCCTCCCCCCTGCAAAATGATTCTTCCCCCTTCTCCTGCTGCTGCTGCTGTTGCTGCTGCTGCTGTGTCGTGCTGAGATGTTCATCCCTTATCGTGGTGAGGTTTTCATCCCTTGTCGTGGCGAGGTGTTCATGCGCTGTCGTGGTAAAGTTGTGTTGCTGTCGTGGTACCAATATTTCTTGTTATGGTGTGGATTATTTTTTTGCTGTCG